TTCGTTTTCATCCTTTACATCTTCGAGTAATGTGTTAGAAATGACGAGTTTAAATGCATTATTTATTATTATTAAACGTTTCCTGGAAGGTCCTTATAATTACTGGTTCTAGTTCTTTATTAGGGATATGTAAACAGTAAGTGTCTGGGGGTAAATTGTCGCGTAGAAGTTTTTGGATTTCTTCCATTATTGGGTCTTTGTTAATGTACATCATCAGTCTTTTCTTGGTGTGAAATAATCTTTCGTTCTAGCATGAGGTTGTGTTAAATCAGTCCATTTATTTATTGACACATGGAGCTCCTATAATTGGATTTTCCATAGATGAATGTACCGTGTCCGTTTCAGAGTTGTCGACCTTTTCTTGAGCTTTTTTACTTATAGATGGGTTGCTTTGTTCTTCTAGTCTTTCGGGTTGTCGTGTCTTTTTAACTGTATTTGGAGGTCTTATTTGAATATCCGAAATCATCTTAATTTTGGGTCTTTTTCGGCCAGTGACATACGAGTATTTCAATATCTTGATTTTGGTTAGTTAGTGATTAATCATTGTTTTTACCATTAGCCAATCCAATTAGTCTAGTCCATATCCTAGTTTGGAGATCGCTATTCGTGTAACATGATTCTCTCTTGCATGGTTTTTCCGATTAATTAAGGTTTTCCAAAGCATATAGTAGGTTGGTTTTTGGTTAGATTTTTCTTTAGTAACTAGATAATAAATAAAATGATTATTTTTATTGTCAAATAATGTTGCTATTTCTCCTGGTTTAGCGTTTTGATCGATAAGACATTGCAGATTGTTAAATTTTTGTTTAAAATCTACAGTAATGCCTTGTTCCATTTTTAAATCGGCAGCGACACAGTGCGCTAAAGAATAATTTTGTTGATCCAAAAGATTTGCTTGAATTTCCTTGATTATCTCCGAGTGTTGGATTGGTTTGCAATTTTGTTCAAATTTTTCAAATTCATTGAGACCTTTTTGCGGTTTTTCAAACAGGTTTCCCTGTGATTCGAAGAAGTGTTTAATCTTTTCGTGCCATAAATATTGGTCATCTTTTTCCTCGTTTTCTTCACATATAGCTGGCATATGTGTTAGTGGGCGTTTTACTAGGTCTACGGGGTGTATTTCTTTTGGTAGTCGTGAGAGGGCGTCAGCGTTGACATTCTGTTTGCCTTTTTTATATTGAGTAGTGTATTCATATTCCTGCAGTTTTAGTTTCCACCCGACTAATTTTGAATTAGGTTCTTTAATGGAGGAGAGCCATTGTAAAGGTTTATGATCCAAATAGATAAGGTCGAAACTTAGTAGCCCGCACGATGGCAAGAAGTTCTTTTTCTATTGTAGAGTAGTTAAGCTCTGCAGGATTAAGTGTTCGGCTAGCGTATGCTATCGGTAGATCAGTTCCAATGGTACCTTGTGAAAGAATTGCTCCGATTGCGTAGTCTGAAGCGTCTGTTGTTAAAACGAAGGGTTTATTGAAATCCGGGTATTGGAGTATAGGGATCATTGGTTAAGATATTTTTACAAAGATTAAAATACCCTAATAAACGCTTTATCATGGGTTATTCTAACATTTTTCTTTAAGCAATGCGTCAATGGTTTAGTAATTTTAGCAATTTTTTTTATGAATTTCCTATAACATCTGACAAGACCAAGGAAGGATTTAATTTCTTTACGAGTGTTCGGAATTTTAAAATTTTTAATGGCTTTAATTTTTTTGGAGTTTGGTTTAACTCCGTCTGGTGTTATCACGTGTCCCAAGAATTCCACTGTTTTCTTTAGGAACTCAGATTTATCCAATTGTATCTTCATATTGAAGGATGCGAGTCGTTCAAAGACTAATTATAATAATACAATAATGAGTCCATGTGTTCCTGAAGACTGGTCGAGTATATAATAATGTCGTCCACCTACACAAGACATATTTTTTCTGGTAATGCACGCAATACATTGTCCATTGCGCGCTGAAATGTCGATGGTGCGTTTATACGACCAAATGGCATACGTGAAATGTCCATGTCCTACGTTAAATGCTGTTTTCGGGATGCTTTCAGGATCCATTTCGAATTGGTGGAATCCACTGGCGAGATCCAACGCTGTGAAATATTGGAATCGTCCTAGTTTATCCAGTATATCAGTAATATTAGTTATTAGGTATTTATTGTCTATAGTCTTCTCATTGAATTTTCTGTAGTCTATGACGAGTCTCTTTCTTTGGTACAATCCACACTGGTGAACTTTAAGGGGAACTTGAGGGTTGAACTATTTCTTCTTGTAACATTTCTTCTATTTGCCTATTAACTTCTTGACATACGGATATCTATATGATTTCGCATGTACGGGAATTTCTTCGCTAGTTTTCATTGTGTGTTTTACTTGATTTGCAAAAGTTAAACTATTTCCGGGTTTATGTAAAACATTTTCGAATTTTCTTATGAATTTAAAAAGCGGTTCCTTCTCGTCCGAATTTAGATGTTCGTGTCGTATTAAAATTATAATATCATTTTTTTGAAATGTTCGGTTTTCTATCATAGGACTATTGAGAACTGGTGTTTCTAAATTTAATATTTCGAAGTTGTTAAGTTCAAATGGTTCTAAAGGTAAGTTGTTATTAACACTACCTTCGAGGGCAATTGATTTGTCTGTATGGTTAGATATATCAATAGTATAAGAATGATTTGTAATCGTAACAAGGGTTGGTTGTATTTCAATTTCATCGTCACGATAGTAGGGCATTATCCATGTCGTATTATTAGGAAGGTTAGTCCTAAGTGTTGCTTTTTGTATAGTTTTTGGGGAATATCTACTACGCAGTCATCGAAATTTTGTCTATGTTGAAAGGGAATTTCTATGTATGTAAGATCTTTAATTCCTAAAATACCGTCAAAATATTCATGAAATGGGTATAGAATAAATTCAATTGGTTCGGTGATACCAAAGCATGCAAATAATGGGATAGTTGCTTTATGTGTTGGTTTCTTTGAACCTGCACATGTTTGAAGGGTATCTACGTAAGGTTTAATTAATTCGGGAAAATAAGTTTCTGTTTCTGCTAAAGAGGGTCTAAGAAGAGATGCATGAGAACCTGTATCGATAAGTAAACAGATTTGATAGTTAGGGATTTCGATATAGGGTAACTGATTTATTTGAAAACTATTTAGGGTTAAACATGATTTGTTTCGTCCGAGGCTACTGACTGAAAATTTTCTAATTGATCAACGATGCTATTTTCTTCTTCGAACTGTTCAACATTTTCGTGGTTTGGGTCGTAATTTCGGGGTTAATGTCGTGCGAATGTAAAGCTTAGTTTACCTGTGGGTTGGAAATGATTATATTGTTTTCTGATTTGAGAAAATGGCTTTTTAGGTTGTATACTTACACCTGACAGAAAAAATTGGTTTTGTAGCTTAAAGAATTGATTCTGAGGTTTGAAAAATTGATTTTGTTGTTTGAAAAATTGATTTTGATGTGACATTTGATAAGGGGATTTGAAAGGTAAATTCGATTATCTATAGGGTTGAATTGGTGGGTTGTTAAATGCTCTTTGGGTGTTTGACAAAATATGATTGATTCGTTTCTGTATATTGTGCCACATTAAGTTATTATTTTGTAAACAATTATTTTTAAACTGGCTTTGACTTGTAAGGATTTCGTAATTTGTAATAATGTCAATAGCATTATCTAGATTTTGAGGATTTTGAACTATAAGTAACGTTCTCAACTCATTGGAAATATTCGACAAAAGATTTTATGTTGCTGTTAATTCGTTTTGAGAAATTAATATTGCTCTCGCTTCGGCATTTGAATTTCAGAACATAATTTTGTATTAATTTTGGTGACTAAGGCTTTGAGTTTTTGGATATAATCTTGAGTAGGTCCGTTCTTCTTAGATAAAAATATTAATTGTTGCTGAAGATTTGCACCAGAGATTGGATCACTGAATTTTTGTGTTAAGGCTAATCTTATCTCGGCCCAAATTGTAAGATCTGGTCGAGTTAATAAAAAATCTTCGGCTCTTCCTAGTATTTTTGATTTAATTGCCAAAATAACATATTCCATCAAAGGTTTTTAGCAAAATAACGGTTGATATATATACAATATAATAGAGAAATATTAGAGTAAAGTTTGTCTATATCTCGCGGTTGATTATTTGTGGGATTATTTCTTCGAGGATAAGTAATATCCGATAACCTATTTCTAAATTTCTTCATCAAATTTTCACCAACAAATTTAAAATTTTCACTTCTTAACTAACAGGAGTCACAACTATAAGGAACACAATTCAGTAAAAACTTACAATAAGTTCTTAGTTTCGTCCCTGTATCAACCAACACGTGTGTCGGAGACATTCACTTCCCACTGATTGTAGTGGACGCTGGGTTACACCAATTCGTCCTGCTGTCTCTCGAACTGCGTACCGATAGTCGATGGTTCCAGGAGTCCCAAGTGCTCTGCGTAGTAGATCTGGAATCCTTTCCTTAATCGTTGAAACGGAAGCGTGTCGTACCGTCGATCCAAAGCTCTGACAATCCCCAAGGGTAATCCAGAGCATAAATCACGATCTGGTACACTACTTGCAACGGATTTACAAAAACACACTGAAAAGGATCCTACTGACTGCGCCAATTTTATTTCGAAAGGCGAAACTCGTATTGTTAAAACACAAGTAACACAATGATTACTACTCCAAAGCGACTTTAAGACAGATTTATCCTACGATTAGCGTGCGTATTTGTATTAATAAAGCTGCTGAATAAGCAGATGTCTCATATTACGATCTTCTATTTAATATATTAATCATAAGTGGCCATATAATTACACTATAAAAATAAATGAAGAACGTTAGTCGCGTACATTTTTTGTGAAAAATATTGGTTACAGTGGCCACTGAAATTAATAATTTTAATTGAATTAAGACTAAATTGGCCCCTTACTATCGTTATCCTAGTTGCTGGTATTAGTTTTCTGCTATTAATGAAATTCACTTTTAATGTATTTATTACAGAATGAAGAAAATTTTAAGCATCACCTTGCTGTTATTCACCATCAAGGCATCGTGCAAACCCGAAGGACAGGGAGTTACGAAAGTACCAAATTATACAAAATTAGCTGACAATGAAATTAAATATCTCCAAAATAAAGGTTTCGGACCTGAGCAACGTTCTGGCGTAGATGCGGTATGTTTATGATTTCGTGTTGCTAGTTGTTTCTTATTATGTACTTATTTTCATTTGCGGATATAATAAATAAATGGGTTTTTAAGAAAAAGCAATGGTGGTAATATTTCTCCAAAAATTGTTTGTTGTTATTCGGCGGTTTTCAAATAAAAGTTTTATTTCATTTAACTGCCTATGCTCAAATAATCTATTTAGGCTGTTAGTTTATCAGTGGTACATTATTTTATGCTCCGTTTATGTAGTATGAATATGAGGAAGAACATTATGAAGTTGACAATGAACCGGAACAAAGCCAATATCGTGAACCAACTTATGCAAATTATCCGGCTCAAACTAGAACCACGCCTATTAAGAACTATCCAGCGGCAACTCCAAAGACCTCATATTACGCTAGTGTCACACCTAAAGCCTACAAAGCTGGTGCGGAAGAAGAAACATATCATAGGAATGGACAGCTCGGTGTAAGTATTTTTTACAGACAATTGATTTATTATGGAATTAATTATAAATCTAAATATCCGTTTTCGAGAAAATACAATGAAATTCTCTGTTATTTGATTTTTATTTTAATTTATTTTCTAAATAGCTCCTATAATATCTCAAAAACTTTAAAATTTCAAATTTAATAATACAAATTTAATAATACACATACCAAAGTACTAATTAAAACTAAAACGGCCACAAAGCTAGGCAAAAATCATACTTATCATACTAAGTTTATACGATAATCTGCGTTTCAGGCGAGTACGCGCGCGCGAGAGAGAGGAAACCAATGTATTACAAGCTTTTGCCTCTTGGAGGCTTTTAAATTCACCGTATTTTTATAGGTTAGGCTTCCGAGATTTCGAGATAGTTCAATTTTGTTTTTTAGATGTGTGTGAAACATTTTTTTATTTAGTATTCAAAACGGTATCGAAATTAACGTTACAATTTGGTATAACTACCAAAAACACGATATCTGCCATTTCTGCCGAAATTCTGATAGCGTTGTTATTTTATCGGAAGTGAAAGTGATAGTAATTTGCCTAAAAATGTCTCGAAGATTTTGTCAACTCCTAAAATGATGTCATAGATTATTTAAATTTTAATCATAATGCATCAGCATTTTCCGTGAAATGCCAATTTTATATGGCGTACAAAATACGTTATTTCCATTAGGCAGAATTAAACAGATTATAAAATCATTTTATTGATATTAATATTGAATTCAATTTCATTATTATTTGAGAGTTTTAATTGATTTCATTAAAATAGACATATTTTGCCTCCTTGCTTACAGGATCCTTAAGTACTGTTAAATGGATGTTATATACCATCTTTAGTAACACTTAAAGAAAGAGTCGCGAAAAAATTGTCGTTTCATCGGTTTTCTTTATGGGATTTTTTCCATGGAATTTTCGTTCATGAGTTATGCCACCACCGCTAACCAATTAAAAAATGTTGCTTGCTAATACTAATTTTTCTCATAATTTAAAGTATACAAAATTGCAAACAAACCCGGTAAAACTTATCTAGTCGACATTATTTTTAAATTAGCCGGAAGAGGAAGAACTAGAAAAAGAAGAGGAACCCGATAGGCTTACTCTTTTACTGCCTCAGTCGAAATTTCAATGCACAGGAAGAAAAACCGGCTATTATGCCGACCAAAATCTGGGCTGTGAGGTATTCCATTATTGTCATGAAAATGCTAGACACTCGTGGATTTGTCCCGAGGGATTTACTTTCCATCAGGTAATTATGTTATTAGTTAATAAATTAATGTTAATGCCAAAATCTATGCTCTAGGTACATCTGATTTGTATGCCACCAGGAGGAGATAATATCTGCGATAAATCGGCTGACTATCACTTTGTGAATGATTTTCTCTACAAGCCAGTCAACTTGGAAGAATACCAACAAAAACCAAACGTGACTTTAAGATATTCCGACAGATACTTTCCTGACGCATATAGACCCAGATACGATGATGACGATGGTGATGCCAGACCCACACACCATCAACATTCGGTGCGTGTTTAACGATTTACCTATGTGATTTCTCTATTCTGTCAACCTTGGAAAAAAGCAGCGTTTTATTCTAATATAGAAAGATGTATAACATAAATAGACAAGTGCCTAGCTACAGGGTCTTTCCGGATAATTAAAAAGCTTTTCATGACTTTACGAAACGAATTAAAAAATTAACATAACTTACGACTTAGGTAACCGGTGAGTTTGTCTGTTTGTGTCAAATACCTGTTAGAGAGACATATTAGAACACAAAGCCCTTAATATTTCCGGACCAATACACCAGTTACCTGTATTCTAAACGCACGTGTAAAAATTATAACAGAAGACGTCAGATACTTTGGAATTTTGGACATTTCGAATTTGGACACCGAATTTGGTTGTTTGCTGGTACTGATTATGCGATTTGAAAAGTATTTTGTTTCTAAATATTACTTAAACAGTTATTATCATTCGTCACGATTATTCTAACTTCAGTTTATGCGGTGACTTATTTTATGAATGAATTGTGTAAAAAGGTTTTTCCGTTACCTGGTCGTCTATGCTAATGTTTGAGGACCCACGTTGATGTATTGTTTTTCCGTATTAGTTTTGGTTTGGAGCATCATGTATAATAGCGGTTTAAAATTGTTTTCTTTCAGATTCGTGTAACCAATCAACCGCGTTATCAATCAATTCCGTCAACGACATTTCGTCCCCAAACACCGTTAGGTCAAGTGTTCAGATCTCCTGAAGAAATTAATATTTCGTTGCAACAAAGGAGACCCCAGTTCTCGACATCTAAACTCATAGACGCTTTCTAATGGCATCACCCCCTATCAATAAGTTTTGAGAAAGTGGTTTCACCCATTAGTAAATTAAACGGCAGTATTTGTTAAATCTGTCGTTCGACAGGTGTTCGTAATTGAATTTACGCAACGGCCATCTCATTTCATGAAATTGTAAATTTTATTTAATAAACAAATTTTTGCAATCTAGATTGTATTTATCGTTAATATAATTTCAAAACAAATAAATTGTGTGATTTTTAAAATATGTATGAACATGTAATAATAAATTAATAAAGTTGGAGTTAATTAGTTTCTTACTGTACTCTAGTTTTAAAATCGGCAATGGTTAATATAATACGTACATTCAGAATTTTCCAAAACTTATTCTCCATAGAGTTAACAAGTGATTTATTCAAAAAAATTTAAAATTTATAACATAGGTAAACTTATTTTTGTTTAACCAGTAGGGTTCGTGGGGTCGTTTTAATTATTTTAAATAATAAAAAAAGTGACACGCCAATTAGGTGGCCATGCAAACGCAAACAGTCAATTTTAGCGAAAAAACTGAAAAGACCATTTTTATTTAGAATTGCATTTAACCGTATTAAAAAAAAATGCGGTAAATCATCCACCCACCAACTTTTTTATTTACATTAATTAAAACGGTCTCACCAACACCGCTGGTTAAACAAAAACAAGTTTATTGATAACCATAAATTTGTTTTTATCAAACCTAATAGCGAAATCTAGAAAAAAAAATTTTTAATATAAAAAAAGATTCGAAATGAACATTTTAGGACATATTTATACAAACTTTTGTACTTATTTCTATCTGCCGAATACGCTATTAAAGTTTATCCATTATAATTCGGACGACCCTCTATAGAGAATTTGCCTATATTGCTGCACCTTTGCAGCTAACGTCAAAAAAATGTTGATAATTTAAAACCTCGTTTTCAACCAATAATATTTTTCGATGTTTAATAATCAATATAGCCACAATAGGTCGTCCATTTGACAGTTTCCAGTTTGAATGTGCGTTTTTTTGTCAAATATACCCATTAAATTTTCAGGGCAAGGAATAGTGTGAAAATTGTTGTTTAGAAAGCAAAATGGCGCAAAGTTCAAGTCAGCGTGTGAGACTTCAGATCATGCGCGGAAGTTAATTTCTTTCATAAGAAAATGTTATAGCCGCCCGAAGTTCAAACCGAGGTTCAACTTAATTCAAAAATCGAGTTTTTGAGATTCGAAAATACATTTATTAGACAAAACTAATTATTTTGATTTATATTGTATCACATGTTCCTTTATGATAGATAACTTCTAGCACAACCATAAACAAAATCAATTTTACAAAGATATTTCGTCAACTAACTTCAAGAATGAATTCATAAAACATTATTTACTGTTCAAAGGTAGGTCACACGAAAAGATCACAATTCATATTTACGTCTAATTATATCAAATATAACATACAGCAAAGAATTGAAAACATTGAGAAATTACAAATGAGCATTTTTATTTCCTTTTAGTCAAAAATTAACTACCCAAAATGACTATCAAAATTTGGTATTTCTGACATTTCATTCAAAGATGGACTAAATCTGTTATTCAACGAGAACCGAATAGCTCGATGTCACTGTTTAATGCGAAATTTTAAACATCGATATTCGAAAACAACCGAAACTAATTTAATATAAAAATATTTAAAAAAACTTTCATTTACGTAAGTAGATAATATTATAAGCTTAAGTATCTAATGATTTTTGAAGATAGGTAAACAACTATTGTTTCAGGAAAATCTTTGCGAACAGCTATTTTTTTGGCAAATGTAGATAGATATAACCACTTAACCAAACAAATAAAATGAATTGTACTTACCAGTACAGTGCAAGTTAAATAATGTAGATCACTGACATCTATTTAAAGTAATTAAAAATTACAGCTCTTTCACTCTTACATATTAATTAACAATTCTATAAATTGTTTTATACAAATTTACAATCACCGGGACATAAGTGAACCGCAGGCTCTGTCAAACACTGCGGCTTAAGAAAATCGAAGTTTTTTTGTAGCCTACTAAAAAAAAGTAACTCGTTCTTTAAATATTTTAGCACGTGCTTATAAGGCGCGCACAAGTGTTCGGAAACGCTATGTAAAGGTGCGTCCAGACTACTTGTACTCGTGCTCGTGCTCGCGGTACTTGCGGTACTCCCGAGTAGTGAAGACGTGATGGCAAGTCACAAGACAAGCCACTCGAGCACTGCAAGCCATGGACTCGAGAGGATCGGCCTGGTATCGGTACATCAAAGAGACTTGCTACAAGTTGAGCAAGCCATCTGAACGGAGAGTGGTTTACTTTAGTTGATTGCTCGTGCTCGTCGACGATGGAGTGGACTAATGATCTAAGTTTAAAATTCGTAAATATTTATGAAAAGTTCCCAATTTTGTGGGATCCTACCCACAAATTTTATAAAGTAATAACCAGAATTAAAGAAGAAGATGAACAGCTTACTTGCAACATAGCGGAAAGTGCCTCAGAAGCTTGAACTCCTGGAAAATCTGGATCAGGGGCTGATGATGTCGACTTATCTCCTGTGTGGTTCGCATTCAAAGAATTTGGAGTTTTTGCACTCCAAATATAAACCAAAACCGATAATCAATACAGAGGTAAGTAAAATACATTAATAATTACTGTTAACCTATTTATTTTAATAAGGTAGTTGCTTAGCATATTTTAATGAACAATTGATAACATATACTATGTTAATGTACAGGGTGGCTGGTTTAAGAAAGGTGTATACCATATCTCGAAATGTACGAAGTTCGAAAAGAACGTTTGTATATAAAAGTTGTGTGAAATAAACTATATTTTTATTTTATCATATATTTGAATATACAGGGTGCATGAAAAAAGTTGTGGAGCATAATTAACATTTGATAAACGGAACACCCTCTATTTGACATCATATTTCTATTCCACTATAAAAACTAATTATTTTTTGTATAACACATCTTATGCCTAGGTAAATGCACTTATATTCGAATTATTTCAGATTTAATATTAAGATTTTCGTATTTTAGAAGACCGCTAAAGCTATGCCGTTTACATAGAGCAAAAAGGATCGCACAATCCTATCTTAGTTTTTTATGGTCTCTCTGGCGGACTATCTTTTGGGTGTGAGCAAAGATAAAAAAAACCGTTTTTTCCAAATTATACAAAAAATGGATCTTCCTATTAAACTGGAAATTGATACAATAAGAAAGGTCATTAAAAACTAAGATAGAAATGTGAAATCCGTTTTTCTGTAAGTTAAACGGTACCTATAGAATTTACAGCCTTCCGAAATCTGAAAATGTCAATTTTCAAACTTGAATAGTTCAAAATTATTTGAATTTTGGCATAAGATGTGTTATATATACAAAAAGTAGTTAGTTTTTATATTGGAATCGAAATATCATGTCAAATTTAAACATTTTTAAACACTATAATATGATATAAATAAATAAATAATTTATGTACGAATTTTGTTTCCAAACTTCGTAGATTGCGAGATAAGGTGGGCCCCTCTTAAACCGGACACCTTTTACATCACTATTATTACTGATAGTTATCTTGCCACGAAAGTTTACTTTTTTCACTCATGAAATAAGCCGCTAATTCATCCCTTATGTCCTGAGCATCTTGGGCTGACCGTCGTGGAATATTCCTTAATGGTAAAAATGATGTAGTAGGCATATTCTCAGCTCTCCATGATCCAGAGGTAACCAGTCCATTCTCTTCATTGTCAAATACTCCTTGAGGAGAGTAGATTTCTCTGGAATTAGAGCTTTTTCTTAAGTAGTTATGAAGATGAACACAAGCCATGACAATAATTTGGGCTTTCGATGGCTCTAGTAGCATGGGTTTTCTTAGCACTCGAAATACAGAAGAAACTATTCCAAATGCATTCTCCACTATGCGCCGCGCCCTTGATAATCTGTAGTTGAAAATACCCTTAGTTGAATCTTTCGTATATTCTCCGGAATATGACTTCATTATGTGATTATTAAGAGGAAATGCGTTTTCCGCAATGATGACGTAGGGTACTCTTATTACTCTTCCTGACAGATTGCATGCGCTAGTAAAGTTTGCAGCATTATTTTCCATCTTTTGAAAAAGAGTCGTGTTTCGGAAGACACCATCATCTGATACCGACCTTGACAGTCCACATCAGCGTAGAGGAAACAGTAGTCTGTATCTACTAAGGTAAAAAGAACAATACTAAAAAATGACTTGTAATTAAAAAAGTCGCTTCTTCTATTTATAGGGCATTGTACTGCGTATTGTCTTCCATCCATTGCGCCAAGGCAATGAGGAAAATTCCATTTACTCTCATACTCGTCGGCTATCTTCAACCACTCCTGCTCTGTCTGCGGCAACTATAATAAACAGAAAAATATATGTTACATCCTAGATATATAAAAAATAATAGTAAAATATCTACAGTTCAAAAAATCTTATTATTATTAATTATTATTATTAGAATTCACGTAACACCTTGTACATAAATCACTATAACGAGTCTTTATAAAACTATCTACTACTTTTTTTTTGCAGGAAGGAATCAAAGTGGGCTTAAAAGAGACTAAGTCGCAAAATGAACAGAGTAAGTGTCTTGATGAAGATACCTAGTTCAAGAGATAGTCACAACGGCTACCGATCATGCCATGGGCCTGTGGAACCTACAAGTGGGCCATCAGTTTCAACCCCACAACAAAATGTTTCACAATGTCAATCCCTAAGTCAAAGCTTATAATCCCACTACCTACAGCTTGACACCCAAGGGGTGTTACCGTCCAACAATAATGCTAGTAGCCAATTACTGAATTTGGATGATGAGGATCATGGTTATCAGTGGCAATAAAAATACTTTTATTTTGTATTATGTTTTAGATTATTTGATTGTCACTATATAACGATCTTACCTTTACATAATCTTTAAAGCGGCGCATAACTCTGGAACAATAGTCTATACTGTCTGCTTGGAAACTTTGAATAAAAAACTCAGATGCTAGGTACCTAGGTGATTGCTAACCTCTCTGAAATGGGGATTGATTTTAGAAATGTGGTGTCTTTCTTTGCAATTTCTGGTCCTACCAAATTCAGTATGGTGTCGAAATCTGATGGAGACATTCGGCAAAACGTCTTGAAATGTAGGTTATCGACTCTTAGGTCTCTCAAAAGATTTGTTCCACTGTAGACTTCGCGATTTCGGAAAATCCATAATATCCACCATCTTCGTTTTCGAGGACTTTTCTTGGGCTTCCGTTTTTTCGATAATAAATGTATCGATAGGTAACTCGCACTGGCGACTATAACTTTGTCACGATCCATTTAAAAAATCGCGCACCTATACTACGGATCCTCTAAAGTCAGAGTCCCGCGAGCAACTGAACTCCGTCTAGACAAAAATCAGGCGAGTACAACCTAAAGCTGGACAAGTCTTTACGTCATTGCGAGTACCGCGAGCACGAGCACGAGTACAAGTAGTCTGGACGCACCTTAAAGTTGCCCGTTCAAAATATTTAATCCCGATTCCTTGTATTATATAAAAATGTTTTTTTTAATCGTCCCGCAGTTTACATGACAATGTTGTCAAAGTACAGTAAAACTTGTTGTTCAATTTTTGTTATTTTCGGGACTCTCCAAATCGCCTTTGAATTGGTTTCCATAGTAACTAAATAAATATACTGATATTTTGACATGCTTTTAAACACACAAATTTATATAGAAAGCATATAGGTTTACGCACAGCCAACTTTCGTCATCGACGTCTCTTATTCGCGAAAGTATACATACAGTAGGCAAAGATCCTTTCGAAATAACTACTTTCTTAAAATTACTCAACCCAAAGTAATACACAGGGCGTAGTTTTAATCGCAGTTCAGCGTCATTGCTAGTTAATCGGGGTGCTGATATTATATATTCAGAACTACCAGATGTTTTGAGTTTATCTCAAGTTTCTGAAGGCTACATTGACGATTCTGTTCAAAATAAGATTGATATAGCTGACTTGTTACGTAAACTACTATTATCGGAATATGATTTCAACGAAGCGGGAACCTCAACGTCTACATAGATTTGATGTTATTTCAATCTAAATATGTGTTTCAAGTTCCACTTTATTTCTGGAAACGAGTAGGAGATACATTGTAAATCAAATTATGGCAAAGTTGCATATCGGCGATCTTGTTATTACGTTAACCAAGTGCAACAAAAAAAAAGAAAAATAATGATCAAATTAAAATAATTCACGTCTCTTAAAAATAGTAGATATATTAAGCAACAAGTTTGATGAATTACTAAAGAAGTTGATCAAAGTTGCTACACATGCTGTTTGTACAACATTAGATTTTTGGGTACACAACGAATACATTCACCCAGTGACGTGACAATTGAGGTGACGTTTCATTTTTCGATAAAAAAATTATATTATACTTTTTAAGAAATTAAAAAATTACCATATAAATAATATTAAAACCTGATTCTGATAAAATATGCAATTCCAGAAGTTTCATTTTTGAGGAACTTCCTTAGTTACCAGGATCAGTTATATGGTTAGGCATTATTTTACTTAGGCTACGGCGACGCTTGCGACATGGTTTATATTGTTTAAATGGGTAACAGCTTTAGTTTTAGCCTGACGCTGTCGCGAGTTCTAATCGTGACCATGTGCATGGAATTTACAAAATAGTGTTCGGAACAAAACGTTTTTGTCGCCGCGACTAGGTCGCAAGCGTGGCCTTGGCTTTATTTTCGTGCAAATCGGTACTACTTGTCAATAAAACGAATCATTGATTAATTGAAATACGTTTATTAGAAAACACATGTTGGCCTTATCAAAATATGGACGGATACAAATGAAACAAAAAGACTTTGCGAGCAGTAAAATTTATTGCTTTTGCCAAAAGAAATTTATTTTTATGCTGCTCCGTTGTATAACAATAATTGCTTCCGTAGTAACTGAAAAATTGCATGGTTGAAATAAAAAATTGTCTTAACATCACATAACGCGTAATACCGAAGGAAAAATTTTTAAAACTACATTAACAAATTTCTGGAAATGTACCTAGTAATTTTTCCTTTCCTTTTTTAAGCAAGAGTAGACTTAGACAATCGAAACAGTAGAGTTTTTCAGCCCATCAGACATTGTTGAACCTGAGATATTAATTGAAAAGGAAGCAAAAGTCGATCAAATAAAAAAGTACATCACGTTTAACTTTTTACAGCTACATAACGGCGTTAAAAATTTATGTGTCTCTACGTCAGTACTTAATTGTTTACGTATTTTAATTTAATTTTAATTACGTATTAATATTTGAACAGTCGCTGTGTTGTAAATGTGGTATGTTTATGTATTGTTGTGTTTTTAATAAAAATATAACAAAGCTGGAACCCAGAACAGAGCAATATTTGCTTCGGTTAAATTTAACGACTATCAATGAACGAGAATTACCATTATCAGTTAAAGGGTTATTAACGCGTCTTGAATAATTGTCGCCAGCAAATTAATATTAATTGGTTATACGGCGTAAAAATTCTTTAATTTCGGTGAATAATTTAAACAATTTCTTCACGAAACAATTCACATTGCTTTTTATTGGGCACCATTTGCAAGCTGCTTCAATTGTCTGCAATCTACATAACGGCAAGGTTTCTGAATTGTACAAAACTTGTTTCTTTGCTACACCTAATTATTTCATAATCGTATTATAAATATTGGCAGTTTCTTGTTTTGTTGTACTATTTACACTATGAACGTACATTAAGAAAATGACATTGAAACATAAAATAAGAGAAATAAACAATGTAAACAAAAATACGAACTAAAGAAGAATTGCTTCACCGCCGAGTTTTAACACATCACAAACAAAAAGCAACAATGGACATTTCTTGCCAAAAAATTATATTTTTAATTATTAACTACAAAAATTATTGCCATTAAAAAAACATATATAAATAAGTTCTATGAAGGAGGTGGATGAGCATTATTATGCAGGCTATTTCAAAAGACAGCAAAACTTGATTAGATATTGATTATACAAAAATAATATTTCGCTTAACAAAGGGTTTTTGGTATTAAACGGGGGCGGCCCCGTGGGCGTCCAAGCACTTAGGCCACCAGATCGGCCCGTTGAGCGTAACAAAGGGTTAATATTTGATTTTTATATTAACCTTGGAGTATTTTTTATATCTGAATGGTGATATTTTTAAAAGATTTCTATAATTATTATTAAAACGTTACTTACAAAATTATTATTTATGCACCACATTTATTTTGACAGAATACTTATAAAGAGTTTTTGGGTTAAGGGCTAATATTAATTCGGAAATTTTTGATTTTTGAAATAGTAAGTTCATTCCAGATTCATTTTTTGCTTGTTTTTCGAAACTTCCTGTATAATGGACTATTTTTTTACGGGACTGTCTTAAAAAAATATTTTAATAAAGCCTGCGGCTGATTCGTTTCTCGTTTAACGCACTACCGCTACTACATACTTTCGATTTCCCTAAGCTATGTACAAAATTTATTAAAAAAAAATAAAATCCAAAATGGTGGTAATTACAATAAAAAAAGAAGTCACCCCTGTTACAAAGTTTACATGCGCAAATAATTAGTGAAATTCTGAAAAAGTACGAAAAAAATCTAAAATTTAAAAAATTAGGGGATGATATACCGCCCCAATGATATGTAGTCTTAATGAAAATATCTTACTCAGTTCGTTTTAGCTTTAATCGAATTTTAAATGACTGAATTAACATATTGATAACAAATTTTTGATATGTTCCGACATCAATTTTTACTACATTCTTTCATACAGTTGAAGTTGTCACTAAAATTATAACTTCCATCAGAACTCTTGCATATATAAACTCTCAAAACTGTTCACCATAATGTCAAACACAACTAATCGCTACAGTAATCACAGATTCTCGACCGAGTTCTCAATACAAACTCAACAAATGGTACTTAATCGGCTTTTTCTCGTGTTTTTCACTTAAGCATCGAGCCGTGGTAGGGTTCATTTCCTGCTAGAAGGGACAAAGAAAGAGAAACAGACGTTTAGAAAAATTCCGAACAATTTAAAATATATGGTAATCTAAATTGTTTAACTATAAATGCCGTTAGCAATGGATGCTGCTAAATAAAGTTCGAAATTTACTCGAAAAAATAAAAACAAAACCTAAATTATTGCATGTTACAACAATGTGTTAAATTAAGTTACGTTAAGTGAATGTTTTATTTAGTTAAAAACATTTAATGAGTTCAATTTTGAAAAGAATTTATGGTAAAACAAATTTTAAAAAATAATTCACATAGATCTTTTTATCAAAAAACAATTATTATGATGCCTCAGGACGCCACTGGAATTCATAATTGGCATTAAATTAGCTTTCAATGTTATACTGCAACAATACTCGCAAATATCAACAAAATCGGTCAAAGGTTTTTCTCAATATTAATAGAGAAACAATTTCCTTCAAAAATTTTAAGAGTCATAGCTTTAGGTCACCTCTTTATATGTTTGAATTTGCTCATACATGATGTTACAGAATGTTGTGAAGATAATTTAAGGGTAGATGCTGCATTTCAAAAGATATAAAAAATATTCATATAAATAACGGTTCGAGAATACTTCGTTTTCGAGATACCGAGTATTTAAACTTTTCCATTTTTTAATTTATGGAAATTGAGATATCAATAGTGATCGTGACGTCAAGTTTTGGCAAAATTTAGTATCTTCCTCTTAATTTTCTTCTTCCTCACAGTCTGTAACACTGTCTATGTAATAGCAAAAATACTTGCCTGTACCTTACGTCTATTTATCAGCATGTTTCTTGTAACATTAAGTAAAATTAAGCGTATATAATTATGTTATAATCCGAAAAATAATGCATATATTAAATGTTTGTTAACGTGTGACTGCAGAAGAAATTCTGCCGAATGTTATGAAAGAAAATGCATGCACAAATGCGATATGCGATATGGCGGAACAATGAACATGAAGAAGAAACGAAAAATAAAAAAAAACGAATGTGGTAATAAGACGACGTTGCTGGGCCAAAAGAAATAGAAGACGATAAAAGAGGAAGCAATTCGGGTAGTAAACCTTACCCCATAAGTAAACAGGTGTCAGCCTTATTTCTAATGTAGCTTACTCTCCTTAAATTAACTATACGACCTTTTAAGGTGGTTGTTGTTAACGTTGTCGTAATTGACTCCTTTATCGCCAATGTCAGAATTCTGCGTGGATGTTTTGCCAAAATCTGTGAAATCGTAGGGATTTTTTGTGGAGGACCTCATAAAGGAATAGAAGTTGACGATGACGGGATTCTGTGTAGAGCTGGGACTTAACGATGAAGTTTCGAAATTTTTTCCAAAATTCTTAAAGTCGTACGGGGATTTGGTAGTAGATATTGTAAACCAACTCCACGAAAACGTCCTAGTAAAACTGGTCGAGGCCAAATTCGTAGACGGTTGCTCGGGACCATATTTGTATGTAACGTCATCGAAATTTGTATTGGAATTTTTATTGGAAGGATCACTTTGACTAACTTGATTCTCGTACTTAATAAATTTACCGTTTTGGGTTTGAATTTGGGCTACGTTATTTTGGTAATTTTGACCATAGGTTGGATTGTAATAGTTAGAGTCGTCGTTGAAATATGGATCTTTGTTCTTCAACTTCTCTTCCTCTTCCTCATCGAACCTGTATACGGTACGTAAAATGGATTTCTTAGTTGCATGTGGGATTGTTTTAAATAAGTAAGAACTAAGAATGAAAGAAAGCGATACTTACAAAGGTCTTCCGCGATTTTCGTTCGCTCTCACATACGTTGCCGAATTCTGTGAATAGTCGGGAATGATGTTTTCGTGTTCTGCTACGCAACGGCCATTTAAGCAATGCTGAAATTGATTTATTAATGTAATGTGTAAATTCAGCACTTAGCGAAGGCACCCAAATGATTTGTTGGGCTTTCGAAAATTGAAAAACTAACCAAAACTTCTCTCCCACTAAACGTACTTCCAAAAATGCTTAGTTTACAAGATACATATTTTAATATTTGTCTATTTTATATAGAAATATAAATATTTAAAAAAAATGTCTTCAGTGAAAATCCTTACATCTGTCGCAGGCTACGTGCCTATGTGCGTTTTTATCATCCTCTTTAGTGTTAATTTTTCATTTCAAATGTTCATAAACATACGTTTTGTCAATTTTCTTTTTTTTTGCTTCGGACAAGATACCCAAAGAGTTATTATAGAAATATGATTAAATAAATAAAGTAGTTTCATATAAAAACTAAAATTGTATTTTAGTTATTTAGAAATTTTCCGTTTTCAAAAAACAAAAAGTAATGGTTAAATTTAGATAAAACCAGTATGTATTTGAACTTTTTTGAAATAATACCTGGAAAAAATGCATATTATATTCTGGCCAATATAATTATTTAAAAGGTTAGAAAAGATCATTTTTATTTAAAACTTCTATGTTATAATACTATAGATGTTATTTTTTATAAATACAAATAGAACTAAATACTGTCTATTTAGTTTAAATGGCACCCCCCGTTTATCATTTCATTTTTAGATTCTACTCTCTACTATTTCTTAACCTTATTTAATAAAAAATAATGTCATTGATTTTTGAGCAATTTGGACCCTTGAAGAAATCTTGATAGTTCCGTACTCTAAGTAAACGGAAAGCCGAACTTATCCAAACAGTTCCTGGAAGGACTCAGTTTTTTTTTTCTGGTATAGCATTTTATAAACACTGTAAGAAATAGCTTGAATATACAGGTTGTGCTATTTAAAAAATCGCAATAAACCGCGCAAAATCTTATTTTTGAAATGAACTGTATGTTCCATCTAAAAGAGTATGTCAGGAAAAGTCCCTGAGTCCTTCCAGGAACTGTCTGGAAGAGTTCGATTTTCCGTTTAATTAAAGCACGGAACTATTAAGATTTCTTCCAGGATCCAAAGTATAGGAAATTATTCTTTATTTCACTAACTGCGAAGTATAGGGAAACCTTAACGAAATCTGCTTTGTTTCTTGTGTGGAATCTAAAAATGAATTGATATATAGGGAGTACCATTGAAACTATTGAAAGAAAAATATTTTAGAGCAATAGAGCACCTCCGCTCCTCCTCCTAATAAGCTACCCACGAGAGCACCCCAATTTCCCAGTTACATAGATGACTGTTTGCTCTTCAACTAGCTGTCTTTTTTTTGTAAAATTTGCTTTATTTTTCAGTTTAGTGATAACAAGCTTGATCGCGATCTGATTAATTTTTAAATCAGTTAAAATAATTTATTTTATTTATGTCCTGTATCGTACTGTCTTAATCTTGTGAAAATTATTACATATTCAAGTGTGGTGCATTAAATAATTTAGTGCATGTTCATTAACTACTTTGGGGGAAGAAAAAGAAATCGAGCAAAAAACAAAAAAAAGTGTTTTTGATGTTATTTTTATAATACTATTGTTTCAATGAAAAATGAATTAGATTTACTGATATTTATTTAGTATATTTATATGTCATGGAAATGTTTGCGAGGTTTCTGTCATACAAAATGAAAAAAAAAAAAAAGACATTAAACAAAGAAACAATGAAATATTTATATTATAATCCGGGTTCTTTCTATTCCTATTATTTCCGGTCAAAATAGATTAATGCAAGCCGTTCGATATTTTTTGCCGAATGTAATGTACCGAAAATTTTAATTGGGTAACAATTTTTGCTACCTGTAAAAAAGTCGGATGTAAGTTTCAAATTCGTCCTTCGCAATCCATTCTATTTTGTCGTTCATTGCCACTATCCATTGTTTTGACTACATTTGATTCTAATCGATAAAAAAAACATTGTTCGAGGTTTTACACGGATGTTCAAATATATAACGGATGTCGAATGTGTGACGTATAACAATCCTCTGGCCTACAATGGGTTTTCTTTTTGTTAATTAAAATCTCCTTTGGCAGAACACAAGTTTCATACTTCGTTGATCGGGTATGAACTTAATTAAGAATGGGAACAAATAATTTGTATTTTTGTCAATATTGTCTATAATTACAAGGTTATTCGCCCAAACCGTTCATTAAGATGTAAATTAGACCTATATTTCGATTGTTTCAGTTAATGCTAGTTCGGCGTTATCTTTCTTTAAAATAGTTTCAGTCAGCCTGCCCTGGAAAACTTTAAATATGCTTTTATTTCCACGCTTTATTCTAATTTTATTTCTGATCGTTTTGATTTTTATATTTATTTAACCATGAAAAAAAATTTACAAACGTGATGACAAATTTTGCTGCTGCTAAGAAATTATCATTTGTCAATTTTACGTTTATATTTTGCACTCTGCCCTAGAAGAGTGACATATACTGTTACTGTCAAGATAATATGCAATTCTTAAAATAAGAAAATTTAATATTTTGAAACCTGGAGTTTACTAGAGTGAAATTTCTAACCTATTTTAATAATCAAACAATTACCCAAAAATAATGAACTCAGTTTTATATTATTTTGATACAAACTATGCAAGTTTCATTGAGAAAAAAAAACAATAGAAATAAATAACCTAAATGTCTTTGTTTTAACGACCTATTAGAGATTAACTTGAAACATCAAGATATGCAGGGTCTTCCATTTAACATTTGAAACAACTAAAAGAAAAAAAAAGTTACTCCCTTCTGTAAAATACCTAATTATACACCGATCTAAACTATCATTTTACCACGTCAGTTTCGTTTTCCATGAATCCCAGTCACTTTGGACATTTCGGAGATATTACAGCACGACTTGAATTTTGACGTCAATTCTGACGGTGAATGTATTCGTGCTGTTTTGCAAAAATGTATCCAAAAACTGACGGTTATAGAAAAAATATAGTATGCAACACATTTGGTAAACTGTGCGTGAAGCAATATTTATTCCTCTACGCGAACATTGTTTGAACATTAAATTTATAACTAAGGTACCGCAAAACACATTTCTCGTCTGCTAGATAACAGAATAAAATGAAATGAAACGATATATTTCAAAATTAAAATTAGTATTTATATTAATCTGATTTGGCCAACGCTGCATACCTACTATCGAAAGGTTTCAAATTTTTAAAATCGTTTTTCAGCGAAAGTTTAAAATAAAGGCGCGCTACATAAAATAAATAATATATAAGTGCATTCAGTATCTTTAAAATAATTTTAAAAGGAAGAGTTATATTTGGAACCTATATATGAAAAGTTTACCCACCTGGCCGTCTCCACAAGCCGATCCTTCAGCTGCAGGTCTGTAGGCTACACAGTAGCCGCTCCCAGAGTCGAAACAAAACAGTTGCGCACACACTCTATCATCTTTCTGTTAAACCAAAGATAACCATTTTTGTTTTTACCATACGGAAATTGCATTTTACAAACTAATTACTTACAAAACACGCGCTTGTACCGCGGTCTCTTCTACATTGAGCATCCAAAGTGAGAAGTTTACCGGGAAGAACTCTTGGCAAACTCGCATCTTCGTGCGGCTCATTATACAAACATGTCGCAGTATCACCACTGCAAGCATTCAACTTTTGTAGATTAAGTCCCTTATGGGTTTTCAACAGTTTCAAAGTAGAGGCCAGGACACTTTCAAAAGCAGCACTTTTTAAAAGAGAGCATTCCATGTTACACTTAAAACCAGTAGAGAAATATTTCCAATTTACTTTTTGATTTTTGGGATTTAGATCAGCTTGAATAAAGACTAATTTCTAAAACAATTTCAGGTTATAAAAATGTGCTTTCTATGCAACAAATAATACAAACAATTATTTGAAAAGTTGAATAAAATTTAAGTCTAGGTCCACAAACTAAATTTGGAAATTTCTAAGATTTTGCATGTTATCAACAGATAGGTCCTTTTTTTAAAAAAAAAGATAAATACGTATTGTTCCCAAAAATTTGGAAAAACGTGGAAAAAGTACTTTGTTATGTTAATCTAGTTTTCGATTTTAAGTAGTTAAATGCCTAAAAACATAAAAAAGTTCAAGTTCTGTCAGAATTAGATATGAATGAATTTTATTTCTGGACGGGGAATCACAGCCCCAACGAATTTGTTTATTCAACGAGTTAAGCATTCACTTCTTCAAGATTGGAATAAATCGCAAAACCACCAACAACTTCAACGTAGTAAATAAAATAAAGAAGAAAAAATTTCGCACCAAAGATCTCTATCTTGACGTCAGTCCAGCGGCAATTAATGGCAATGTTATGTAACAAAATAACATCCAATTGATTTGTGACAACAGACTAAACAAGGTAACGAAAGAATCGATCATATTGCCCGAAAGGGCTCTTGAAAACGCATTATTGAACCAGGACCACTTTATGGGCTAGAAAGTTCATTACCAAAACAGCCATCGGCAAAAGAATTTCGAATTCGCGAAGATGGGCAGACACGCCAAGTAATTCCTCAAAACTCCATATGCTAAATTTACAGCAGAAATCCTGACCATCACAAGAAAGCAGTGATAATAATAGTTGGTCTACTGCCGACTCAAAGCCAAATGGGGGGATGGAAGAAAACACTGCATACCAATTCTGTTTAGAAGGGTTCCTCGCGGAAGTTGTGATCTAATCTAATGCTTTGCTATATTTCATATTAATAATTTTTAAATGCAGCAACTGAATTTATGAGCGTTTAGAATCTGAACTACAAAGCCGTTCGAATGGCGGAAAGTTAGTTGACACAATAACTTACTTTAAGAAGTGGTGGAAACTCGAAACACTACATGGGGACCAACGGAATCCCCTTTCCGTGTGCCTCAAATCAGACATTATAAACCCATCTGTCCATTTGCATTTCTCAGCACCTGGACCTCCCAAATAAGAAGGCGGTGGACTACCGTCGTGCACGGCTCCTAACCTGCAATCACGGATATTGACATCGTCTTATATTAATACTGATATTTTTCGAAGGTGTGCAACGAGTTGTTAAAAATACTTGTTTGGTTTCCAATGCCCTTATTTAAGTAGACATCAACGTGGAGATATAATCCAAATTAAGGCGAAGGAAGTTCAAAAACTAGCTTTGATAATGATACTTACAAATGTCCAACTTCGTGAGCTGCTACGATTATGCCACTAAATCCTCCGGTGTCTTCAATTATAGCTACTGAATTTACTTTTTCTAATCGTTTATTGACCACGCACGCGCCACCAACATAGGCAAACCCTATAATCCATTTTATTTTTTTAATTGGTAAGTCATAAGCGATTTTAAAACTTCAAAACCGATCCTCCACCAGAAGCAGCAGAAAGTGAAAATCAGTTCATTTACTTTTGTTTTTTTTGTATCGGGATTTACAGGTAGACAAGCGATGATTGAATTATGTTTACAAATTTGTATTCAGCATCACAACCATCGGTGATGGTTTTTTAAAAAGCGACAATATTCTTTTAATAAGCAGAAAACTAGTAGAGAAAGTTATGACGGACAATTTAGATTAATTATATAGGGTATATTAGGCAACTTCTATTTGATGGAATCAGTAGGTTATTTGACACCAGTGAACTGGTAAATGCTTTCAGAATATCCATATTATCTCTGCAATGCTCTAAAATTCAAGGAAAACTATAATTTGTCCGACAAACACTACTATCTGTTAAAAGTTATTCTTTCGAAGGTTTTTGTTCTCTCTTTAAAATGCAACGTTAAAAACTCTGCCAGTTTAAATTTTTATTAATGGCCACAATTAAAAATCGGACAAAGCTGCAAATGTTAGTAATTTTCCTTAAATCAGAATAAGCCTGGCAAGATAATTAATAAAACTGATTTTTATTAACGTTTTGGTTAGTCCATTTTTACCAAATCCAAGCTGCGTGTGAGTATTTTTGCTGGGTGCGATTAGTTCATAATAGGTTAAACCCATCCCTTGCATAAAAATAACAGGATCTACCCCAAAACGTCATCGAAGAAGAGAATGCCAGTTTTGGAAAGATCTACCCCCCTGTTCTACTTAATATGATATACTGGTATGGGTTTACACGCGAAAGTAGTTCTGAAAATGTTTTATATGTGCCGGCAAGTTCGTGACTTAGTGACTGGAAAAGGACATTCTATATCTACACGAAAATGATGTTGCAGGATAGTGCACCCGCAGTGAGAACCTTGTGTGATTTGTGACACCGTATTCTAGGTGGTATTGAATTGAAGGAAATTAATGCTTAACACCGCGTGCGATAGAGTTGTGTGTTGTCTAGCGAAAGTTACTATACGAATTTGATGGGGGAGAGTATAAATGATAATCAAAGCGCAAAAATGAAACAACGAGGTTCGAAAATGTTTACAGACAAGTGCTTTATCTACACTGAGTTTTGTATTAATTGGGATACCTGCGGTGCCTCGATTACAATTGTCACTTGGGTGCGTTCTTCTGCACATGTCTAGTCTGTAAAAATGAAATACACCGTGTAAAATTTCTCGCAAATCTGTTTTAGATGTTACCGAAAATTTGTGTTATACAATCTAAAATCGATCTAGATATTGTGGTGTTTTGCAGGTCGTCTGAATTAGTAAATACCCATACTTACAAATCTATAAATTAGTTTAAGGCTTTTAGATATCTTGACAAATCCCGTTTCAGATTAATTTCGTTTGCGATTTTAAAAAACTGTACACACCAGGCCCAAGATAGGCAATAACAAATTATAGTAAAGATTACCGGCCGTTCCTTTTGTACAGCGTCCACCTTTTCTCCGTCGACACATATCGTATCTAAATGTTAAAAAGTAAGTTATTAAAAGAATGCGAACAATGGAAGTACACCTTAGTGGGCATGACTACCTAATAGACAACAATTTAAGTGGTCGACTGATGCATATAGGTATTTATACCTACTTGGTTATCGCCACCGCTATATCGTAAACTGGTAATCTTCTTTCCCTAAATAAATATTTTCCCATATCTGTAAGAGCGGCTGCTGAATCTATAGCATCCCTTCCCACTCTGTTACGTTCTAGATATGGAGTTGCATCTCTACCCTGAAATTAAGACGTTTATGAAAGACATGTTTTTAAATAATTGAAACAATAAATATGAACTCAGATGTACCCCTAAACACTTGCTTGAGAAAAACTTTGCAATCTAGAACCTCATTATCTCGTCATATATAATTAAAGTACATTTATGATCGTTATAAACCCCATTTTCCTAACAAATAACGGTTTGGATTCGAATTTCAATACCATTTTAGCTTGACATAGCCTTCAAAAAATCTTGTCGACATATATTCCAGTGCTAGAAAATCTTGAACTATTGAAAAAAAAAACAGATGATTGAGTAAATAATTCCGTTGAAAAAGCTAATTCTGATTATTAACATACAATACACTTCCATATTGTTCTCAATATATTGAGTATTAGGTCAAGAAATAGGACACGGTTTTATGTTTTTGCATATCTATTTACTTAATTTTTAAATCTGTTATTAATCGGCTAATCGATTGAAAACAGGAAATGAAATACTAAATTGTGTTTGACTTCAAATTTTTTATTCTCTTCGCGTTGTCTTTATTTTAGATATTTTTTAAGAAACTTTTATCCAAAATAAGCAATCATAAAACTGGCTGGAATCAATCCTGCATTTAAAATTTCTCTGCCAAAGTGGAAAGAATTAATTAATAAAAAAAATCATAAGAGTCATTGTTTATATTTTCAATTTATTAAGAAACAATTAATACGAATGTATTAAATTGAACTTAAAAAAAATAAAGAAAATGGGATATATTAAACACAAAATAACGATAAAACTCTATCTTTCATTAATCATAAAATTACGACGGTATGTATACTTCATGTAAAATCATCTGCAATTCGTTAAGCACTAAATAAATTTTTATTTTTATAAATAAATATTAATTCAAACAAAGACTTTCATTACAATTTATTACACAAAGGGCCAATGCCACCAAAAGATGAGTAATTAAATTTAAATCATATTTATTCTTTTTGTTATTCATCAAATAGTTATTATTTAAACTTGGATAAAAAGTTTAGTTTTTATTGAAAAAACAGATCGCCACTGGAAAAATCTTAGAAACTCTGAAGTGCCATGGACAGCATTTTTAAGGAATACGCTGTTGTCTTGATTGGAATATTAATTGCATGTTGCATATACTGGCGAAAAGATAGTTTAAAGAAAGAAAAGATAGTACAAAGCATTCGAAAAATATAAACAGAACGCTCACAACAAGATAATAGTATATTATGCAACAAGTGCGGTAAACGGCGTTTGACGAGCAGAGCAGAGCGACTGTTTAATAAACGAGTGAGTTAAAAAGTTTACCGAACGTGTGGCATACTATATTTTTTCTACGACGGTTAGTTTTTGATTAGTTTCGCAAAATAACACGAATACATGACCGTCAAAATTGACAAACGTCAAAATCCAAAGCGTGGGAAATATCTCCGAAAATATCCGATTGCTCCTAAAAGTGGCTAGGATTCGTGGGAAACGTGACGTTTCCCGCACGCTAGATCGGTGGGTAATTAGGTATTTTACAGACGGGAGTAGAAAAAAAAGTTTACCGAACGTGTTGTATACTATACTTTTTCTAAGACAGTTAGTTTTTGGGTACATTTTTGCCAAACAACATGAATGACATGGCCGTCAGAATTGACAAACCTCAAATTCAAGGCGTGGGAAATATTTCCGAAATTATCCGATTGCTACCAAACCCGCGCGGTAAAATTCCGGAAATGTCTCAAGTGGCTCGGGTCCGTGGAAAATAAAACTGACGTGGTAAAGCTTCCCGCACGCTAGATCCGTGCGTAATTAGGGATTTTACAGACGGGAGTAGAAACAAAAATTAAAACATTGATTTGTTGGGCTAGAAATCCAAAAGCAGTGACCTCAAGAACTAATCTTACTTACTCTGCTAATGATAATTCCTGCAATGGACACCCTAATTTTCGGCCCTTTGAGTAACTTGTATCTCATGTCGACTCCATTCCAGAAGGACACAAAGTACCTTTTAATTTGCACATTGTCGCCTCCGTGTAATCGGTAACCATCGTAATCGACTATAACCAAAATTTCGGGGTAAATGGTGTACGGGGCTTCCCGTTTCTTCCTAGTTTTCGTTTCCGAGCTGCGCCTAAATCGTTTCGATAAGTGATCTGGTTCCATAAAAGCTGAAAATGTATAAAAAAATTCGTGCACGTGGGTCCGCCAAAGACTTATTATCGAAAACAAACGGGAGATGAAACAAATTCATTCGTAAATAAATAAGTGAATCAATCGTAAACTTTTACCGAAAGTTCACTAGCTTCGCAATAGCGCATTGTGCTTAAAATTCGAAAGAGATAAATGAAATCTCATGCCCTCACATGGCAGTGTCGAACAAATTAATTGTTGAAAACTACTATGCAATTCATCTCATCATTTAGCGGCAACGAAAATAGAACGCAAGCTAAGATATAATTGTAGATGACTTTTGAATCTGTTGCTTAATTTCCTATAAGTATCATAATAGCACAACTTTCTTTAGATAAATTAAGAAACATAAAAGTGGCATCGCTGTATAAATCGATGTTTAGCAACAATAGGCTTTACCTGTGGTTCAATGTATTCTGGTTATTGACCACGTGCTGTTATTAATGGTTTAGTTTACAGTCGATGTTGTTTGCATGAATTCAAAAGAAAAAATGAATTACTTTGAAGGACTATCACCGCCTCTGTCGTCAACCTAAATCACCTCGCGGGAGGGAGCCATTGCCGCGAAATAATCTAAACTATTCTTTGTTCAAAAATTCTATACTTCACTAGGTGAGATATTGTGTAGGCTTCGGATTTGTAATAATTTTTATTCGCTCTTCACTTTCAATCCATTGAAAAAACTATATGACTATTTTATAATTAAAAATTAAGATAAAAAATCCAATAAAATATAAGGAAGCTATAAAATTTTGCTTAATTTTTTAGCTGATCGCGTTTACTACCTTGAAACTTTATATCCTACCTATAAAATTTCAGCTGAATAGATGCGATGTTTTAAAAAATAATAATTAATCAAGAAATAGACCAGATATATAAAACTACTTATAATCACTGAATCAAGTTAGCGAGCAAGTCGAGTGGCGGCATAACAAACGATTATTGTTTCTCAATTGACGATTTTAGTTCATTGCTTCATTTTACCTATATAAGCGGGTGGATGGCCCCAGCTTTAGTTCGGTTCTATTTGAGCTGCCGAGGGGAGAACATCAACAAGCGATATATTAACGAATTTCTAGTGCCGTGAGTTTGCTTTGTCTGGTAGAAAGAAACGAAAAGTAGATGAATAAGGTCGCCAGTTTCAAGAAAAATGGACTGACGAATTCTTTTTTATCTTGCACAAAGGTAAGCCTATTTGCTTGTAATCAATGGCAATGTTTCATAAACAAAGAACACAACACGATAATGTTGTGAAAACTAGTTATAGTTTACATAAAAAAAAGTTGACTAACCGGTTTTGAATAATTTCCATAGCATTAGACGAGAGCATCAATTTGTCCTAAACAGCTTAATTGACTGTATTTATTCCAGATGTTGAAAAAGAGTTCACCGTTATTGAGGACTTGCTCGCTTTACACCTGCTAAAAGTAGCGAATATTTTTAACGAAGTTCAAAATTTATGCTATGAACGGCTTACGTAAAGTTTTCATGAAAATTTTCAATGAAGAAGCAATTGAATTAAATTTGCAAAAATATGATTTGATAGTCCTTCATTGCACGAACAGAACTTGTGTTCTAATTCCATTCGACTAATGTTATGAATGTGATAGTGAAACCCATAAATTTTATTCCATCTCGAACCATGGTCAGTTGAAGGTGTTTTTGGATGAAATATCAGCCGAATATGACGACGTAACCATATTATTGTGAAGTCAGATTGCTAAGCAAAGGGGAAATTCAGAAACGGTTTTACGAGCTTAGAAATGAGATTTCATGCAAAATAACCAAAATTAATATGTTACTTAACGTTTCTGGTCGACCTTACATAATATTTGAATGATTTAAATTTGAAACTTCAAAAACGACACACAGTTAGTAAATGATTTGTACAGCCATTTGAAACCGTTTCAGAACAAAATTCGCTGGTGGGAATTAATACAAACATCGGTGGTTTAGTTTCCCAAATTTAAGCTCACGTATTATTTCTAAATCTCACGATTTAGTTGTAATATTTTACATATTTTTTCCAGTTCATTTTGTTATTTTAATAAATTGTATTATAATAACAATGTCGTATTATTTCATGTCTAATATCTATCATTAAAAATTATGAACACTACCTTCACACGCGGCCAGCGAACGTATTTGCACATTTAAGTTTGGCCCACAACATGTCAAAGGTTGCCCATACCTGCCCTAGAGTGTAGACCATTCCATTATTATATTCGTATTTGATAGTGCTCAGATTTATTTAATTTTTGAGAAAGCAGATATAAGCATTAGAATTAATGATGATAACAGTTGTGAAATATGATGCTCTTTTATAGCAGAGTTACAGAATTGATCCATCTATAAGTATGGACCAAACAAATCTGGAAAATTTAAGAGTTTCGGAGCGGCAGCGATACTTTTAAAAGTTTTAAGGTGGCGAAATTTTCGATTAACGCTGCTTTGTTTTCAAATACACACCAAAACTGATTAAAATAAAATGGCAACCAACCATAGTCTCCTGTAACATCTTCGGCACTTTCTTTCCTTTTGAACACAATATGGTGATGTACAGTTTCTTCCGCACCGTTCTCGTCAGCTGGCAAAACAGTCTCGATTGATGATACCGTGCCAAGCGTTCCACCAACATCCCAGAAGTCATTTTGATTATTTGGTCGACGGGTTGCAATTTTCTCATCACGCAGTCTTATAGGAAGAGGACGAATTACTATAGAAGACCCTATGCTTCCTTCCTGAAAATGCAAATGTGTTTTTATATCTCAATTCAAAAGGTACAATTCCATGTAGTGTCATAAATATTCGCAAAAGAGCGGATATTTGCAATCTACATTTTTGTTGTTTTTGGCTCATTTTAATTAAAAATAAAACTTAATCCCGAAAACGGTACCTTTTTAAAATTGAAGTTTATCTAAATTGGAAAAATAAAAAATATCGGTGAAATGTACGATGTACGCCCACCATTTTTTGATGGTTTTATGGCGTAATTCCCTTATAAACCAAGGGTGTTGCGACTTCCGTGACACAAATGACACGTTATGAATTGAGAGGTGACACAAACAAAAATGTCATAGCCATCTTGGATTTTAAGATTTTGAATATTTTGCATTGTTAGACACTCTTTGCAGCTCGGTTATGCTCAAAGTTACCGAAAAGGGGCGAAAATTAGTCGGGAACTTTATTAATGGAAAACCCGGTATCTCTTCGAATAGTTTTATTAGGCTTGTTATTAATTTTCCAAAAATATATAACGCATAAGAGCTAATTCTTTTTTTATGTGTAGGCTATTAAAAATACGTTTTTTTGCAGATCAATTACAATTGGTGTGTAATACGCATTGATCCAATTTCTTATAATTATCGTTTTTTGGGTTAATATGAGCCACAATCGAGGAAAGAAATTACAATAATAATTGCGAAATATTCCTACTGTTTGAAGTATATTAGGGCAGTTTCTTTCCATGGCCAACTCATACATGATTATTAAAGACGTATGTTTTGTTTTGGAACTACTTCTTGATTTACATATTTTTGAAAAGGTTATAACAAGTCTGTAATATTAAATATATTATAATATTAAAAAAGATGCCAAAAAAAGTAAGTATATCGTCACTGGAGCCAAAGTAAAAAACCCTGTCAAGAACAGTTCTCACCTTAAAGTTAGGTTAAGGTATAATCGACTTACAAAAGGTGACTAAAATTGCAAAATTTTCAAAATCCCTTTGATTTAATAAAAAAGCAAGTTCATGAAAGCAGCACAGGGAAATACCGCGAAGAACCATCAAAAATGGGACGCACTGTATATATTCAAATAAATATGAATATGGCTATTTTCTGACCAATATTTTTTTTTGTTTTTTTATGAAAAAGACCCAATTGTGTTATAGATTATTACAAATAATAATATGTAAATTATTACAGTAAGAATTATGTCGAAAAATAAAGTAGGTAATTAAGCAACGAGAAATCTATCACACAGATTGTATTTACCGGTTTACCAGTAAGAACTTCAAAAGTGATAATTGGATGAAAAATCGGCATCAGAGTAAATCATACAAGCTGGTAGGTCATATCGCTGCAGTGAAATAATATGTCATGCTTTGTTAGTATTACAAATCTGCAGGATATGTGTGACCCAATCATAAAATTACGTATAGTCTCTCGATTTCCCTTTCGTTTTGAGTCAACGTGTATTAAAGAAACTCCCGATTGCTGGTTTCGCCTAGATTCCAAAGGTAACCTCGATGACATTTTCTGTGACTATTTTTGGTGGAACAGATCTAGGCTACGTTTTCTGTTAAATTTGTTATATAAAGCACGAATTTTATAGCGTTTCGATGCGTAACGAAATGTTTCTGTCGATTTGTGGGGTATTTTTTATGACCAATTAATTATTTCGCTTAAATTAAAACTTTTTTAATATTAACAAAACCACGTATATTAAGCAACGCAAAAGTACTGAGCAGAAATTTAGAAATTTCTAGTGGGCATAGTTTATATTTACGCTTTTCCTATGTAATAAGACTCACCACAAAAATTTTGTCATCTTCTTTTCTCAATAGAACTGCTGCTTGATTTTTCTCGTCTTGATATGCGTCTCCGATATCTTCGTCTGCCTGAAAATAAAAAAAGAGTTATTTATTGGCCAATAATTTTTGAAAAAAAAAAGAAAACGTACTTATAAATTATTCCTTTAATTTCTCCAGTTCGCAAAATATTGAGTATCTGTTACTTATGTATGCAACAAGTGCGGTAAACGGCACTTGACTCACGAATTTATTTGACACGAGCGGAGCGAGTGTTTAATAAACGAGTGAGTCGGTAAAATCCCGGAAATGTCCGAAGTGGCTCGGATCCGTGGGAAACGAAACTGACGTAGTAGAAAAATTAAATTATGCACTTAACGTTTTTCGGGGTTTTGTTAATTTAAATGCTAAGCACTTCGCTTCAGACTGGTGAAAGACAACATCCCATTGCCAAACCAGTTCTAAACATGCCAATTAATTGAAGAGAATTGAGAGATGAATATTAATATTTTTCGAAAAATGTGCAGATTTTAATGAATCATCATTGGGAATTTTAGTTATTTTTTAACAATTTCTTTATTTACTAGCGAAAACATGAAAAAACATGGCAATTTGCAAAAATTTGAGAAACTAAAATATATCGATAAGGATTTTTTTGAAATGGTTTCGGGAAAATTGCTCAGTTGTTTTAAAATGATTCAATTAACTTCGACTAATGTAATTAACATGTTAATGAAAATGAATGCAAAGCCACTTCTATTGCAATTTTTTTTAGACGTTTTGATTTAGTAGCAAAATTACTATTTCCATAATTAAAAAAAATGAACTGCAATTTGCAATTTCTAAAAAAATATCGAAGCTAACTAGCAGTTCCCCTTGTCTTATATGTATTCATTTCAAGTACATCGTACGCTATACATTATTCACACACACCCGTTGATTAAGAATTTTATAAATTGTCTAATTGTCTAATTGTTCTTTTAAACAGCATGACCTGCAACTTTAAATCAACTGTTTGTAGTGCCTCAAAAATTGAAATTAAAAAAATTAAAAAGGTTTTTTGCGTATATAACAACAAATTTTCAGTAGAGTAAATACGAAGAATGTGGCTTTTGATAGAACACCTAATTCGCTCCTTCTTCACGAAATTTTAGCTCTAAGACTAACGATTATCAAAAATACAACAAATTAACAACAACTAATTACGTTTTACTAAAAATTTCCACCACATATTATAGACGACTTTCAATAATTTCACAATTTTAGGGCACCACTGTGGTTTCACTTTTTTTTTACTGTTAAATAATTCGAAAACCAAATTTTCAAGGTGACGTCTGACGTCTTGGCTTTCAGACCTGCAGCGACAGCTAACAAAAAATATTTTAAAATGAAAAATGGAACTGGTATTGAAGTCCAAGAATATACTTCAAGTTTTTCAGGGATTTTTCTCATATTGTAGTTAAACAATTCATTTAAATTAACAAGAGACAGATTGTAGTGATTAGCATCAGCATTAAGCTGTAAATTTAATCAAGATTACAACGTGGAATTTTAAGAATAGAAAGAAAACTTACCTCCGGATGTTCAATGAGCTTTATTCCGTGTTGGTCGGTGGCGTTGGGCTCTATGCTCCACAGTTTAAATTTTCCTTTTTTGTAAAGGCCCTCTGTTGGTACGAGATTCAAGTTAAACGAAGTGCCGAACGCTTTTAGTCTTAATTCCGTAATGTGAGCATCGGGCTTAACGTTACTGTCGATGCTGCTTTTCGAATGTGGACTTTTAAGATTCCACGTGGTATCATTCCTTGTAATTTCGTGATGAATCGAATTTTCTTTGCGATTGGGTGCTGATATGCTACGTTTCGTAATGTGACGGATAGTAACTAATTCATATTCTGGCACTGAAAAAAAAATTGATATATAGAAGCCATACCGAAATTATAATAAAAACTGCAAGAGGAAGTGCTTAAATATAAGCTTACCTACGAACCAAAAGTCATTTAAGTAAAGTGTACTTAAGTGAGCTGCCTACGCAAAAATGTTATACAGGGTGATGCATAATAGGGCAAACTATACTTTGTTTCAAAGTATATCGTCTTGGCTTTTGACCGCAATTATCAAAACAACCTACCAACCGTAATAAAACACCTGACCAAAGGGTATTGTAGGGCAGAGCATGAGGGAAATATAAAGGTTAAATATTATATTATGTTTTAGGTATAATAGTGCTATGTAATAGAAAATGCAATGATACTAAATGTATAAAATTATCAATAATTAGGCACCTTAATAAGTACGTTTTATTCAAAATCTAATTCCGTTTCACTCTCAGAGTCGTCATTAAGATTAATTATATTGGCCTCTATGTTATTATACAAATGTATTTAATTTTCAAATTGTGCTGTGCTCTCACCAGGTATATTATTAATTATGTTTTTAATTACACTCACTCTGACTGCACTCACAGTTGATTTTACTTGGAGCAACAAATGACAAAAGATGTAAAACAATATACCCCATTTGTTCAGCCAAATTATCACGTATATACATATATATATATATATATATATATATATATATATATATATATATATATATATATATATATATATATATATATATATATATATATATATATATATATATATATATATATATATATATATATATATATATATATATATATATATATATATATATATATATATGGTTTTGAATTTAGCTCTTCCAAAAGTTGTCCTTTCTTGTAAGTGTAACAAATATTCCTGAATTTCAATATTTGTACTTGATTAATTTGGTGCTTGTTGTAGCAGGTGGCTGTGAAAGCATGCGTTGTGCGTGGTAGACACTGTTATGCGAAATATTTTTTAATAAAATAATAAGATAACTTTGAAACCAGTTTTTAAAAAGTTCTGCACTTTGTATCCTCGTCATAGTCCGAAGTCAGAGTCCTTCATATTCTTCGCAGACAACAGCGATCATTTTGGGATAAATCCCTCTTCTGATCCATCGTGAATAATGGTGATGCATTTCCCTTTATTTGAACGTGCGTTTGTCTGACAGTTTTTACTGAAATCAACCCATCCTTCGAATACTGTGTTGTGTATAACGAACCAATTTGCAAGTAGGTAAATCATACATCTTATTTAATGCCCTGAAGGTAAGTGCCTGTGCGATTCCATTACCACTTGTTTTGGAATTTGGAAAACCTTGCCAACTTGATGACCTTTAAACGAAGTTTTCTCTGATTTTTTTTAAGTTTATTTTATATTTAGGGCTGACTAGTTACTATTTTTTTGAAGGTGATTAACAAAAACTAATATTATAGAAAAACTTGAATCGATAAGTATTGTGAAACCTCAAGAAAAGTGGCAGGGGCAATAGTTGAACCCATATAGCTACTAGAGATATAAAGGCCCTGCCTATGTTAATACTGTGAAAAAAAAACTATGCCACACTTCTTAAAACACCCTTTATAATTAAGAATATTTTTATTATGTTTGCCTTTTTATTAATGAATCATTTATTAAAATTATTTTCCGAAATAGTGATAAATATGGAAGATAGGTACTTCGCCACACCATTGCCTCACTTACGCACTGCCGCTGCATGTAAAACTTCTATGATTCGAATAACATTGACGTCGGTTATTGCTGCAACGTCCTTTTAAGATAATTGTTATTTTAACCCTATAGTAAAGATGTAAGTATGAATAGAATTGAAAACATCAGTCTAACGATTTAATAACATTTTTGAATTTTGCATTCTGACGGCACATTTTTGGGAATGTAAATTTTATTTTATTGGCAAATGCTTTCCTTTTGATGTTAGAATTGAGATTGTGATGTCGTTTGACGATCTTGGTTTAGAATTTTTCAATTTTAACGTTTACATGTGTGTGATTTTCTAATGTATTTGTTGATACTTGTTATATATTTTATTGTTCGTTTTACCGTTTTTTAGAAATTTATAACTGCTTCCAGTAGTCAACAAAGCAGAATATTAGCAATACTCGTAACTTTTATCGGTAGAGCATTTCGATCAAAGAGAGACATTAAACCAAAACCCTTTGAATTGATGTCAATACTTATAGAAAAATTGTTATGCAGTGTTTCACCACCGGCCAATAAACTGTTAAAAAAACTCATTTTGCTCTTTGTTATTGAGGACGAGATGTTTACGTACCCACCACAGACGCAGCGTTTTATGTTCTCAAATCAAAGCTGCGATAGTGGCACCACTTCCACTTTACATTTCGTTAACCACTACTAAAATGATTGCAGAAACGGTGGAAATGGTTTTTAAAGTTTTCACAAATAGTTGAGAGGTCTTCCAGAACAATGTTGTTTTCAAATTTCGCCGTCTTTAAATAGATACCATTTTGTTTCCTTGCCCGAACCAACGCTTTTTCATTACTCGGAAGCCGTTAGCTTATTGTTAATGTGACTAATCGGAACTTCTTACCTAATACCGTTATGCTTTGTTGCTATTCTAAAACCGACTCGAATCATCGATTTAAGAAATTCTTTAGTTAGTGTCAAATTAAATCACCCATTATAGACCCGCCGCCATAAGCACAAATTAAACGGCCCAGAAAGCTAATTACCAAATAAACAGATCAAAATCTCTATAAATTGATGTTGAAACGATGAATTAAAATTTGACCGGTAATTGTATTACAATGCGCATTTTTTATTGCTTCCAAGTAGAATTATTTGGTATGGTTTTCTAGAAGTAATAGTTACATGGGCTCCAGCTTTGTAACTAGAAAATAATTCGACTAATCTTTTCAGATATCGGACTAGAGATTATCTCGGCACACAGGTCATATATGCTCATATCCAGAAATAATTTGCTATTTAATATTAACGCAGTCTGGTTTACCACTCTGTAAAGGGTTATTCACGCTGTACGGCACGGAATATCGTTTTTAGAGTTTCACATTTGGGATGTATGGAGTCCTATTATAGAATTTTTTTCAAATAATTTTTATACTACACATGTTGTCCCAAAAGTCTTGAAATTACCAAAATTGCACTTTTTTATATGGAACCTTCTTTATATTATAGAATTTTTTTTAATTCTACGATCAAAATAAGTGTATGCTCCAATAACGTTTATGACCCTTAAATCTAGGTTTCTTATATAAGTTGAGTTTTGTAAAAATGCAATATAATTTTAATTTCACAAATATATACGAAGTATTTAAATTACGTCAGCGATTTTTAGAGTAGATTTTAACAATAAACTGTTTTCTTTATCTCAATTATAAAAAGAATCTTATTTATACAGAATACCCCAAAATGTTGCCCAATGTAATGTAAGTGGCTATAATTTGATTAACATAAAGGTACAGCAAATTTTTTTTAACATACCATTGAAGGTACTGTTCAATTACCTATCGAATAGCGTTCTACAGTTAACTAGTGCGAATTTTTAGTTTTTGACGTCACTTGGTGTTTCCTAAAAGAAATCATGCCCCCAATACAAGTGTTTTTAAGAGAATATTAATGGTTAATGAAAAAGGAAGTGTCCGTGATAAGACAACCAACACAATTTTTTTTTTTTACAAAAATCAAACTATTTAAAAAACTTTAAATCTTAAACGTTACAAATATACAGCAGATTCAACACAAGCTGTATAGTTCATAAAAATAATTTTCAAGAGTAACACATATCAAAAGTAAAACTTTTTGAAACCCTTGTATTTTGGCCAGAATATTCCGCGCCAAATGGAGTGAATAACCCACCTTTTTTTACACTTCACGGAAACGCCGCGCCGCAGACCTACCACGGCAGCCATCTCTTTTTTTCTTCGATTTTCTCCTGTTTTTTGGACACTATGAAACGCTATGAAACGAAGTGTCCGAAATAAATAATTTTGCGGAGAGATTTTCCCTTTCGCGCGTACAACTCATAAATTGTTTTAACTGAAACCCGCAATTCTAGGAGCAATTTTCTAACGGTTTCACCGTGAGTTTTCCGTCTCTAGAATATCTCAATTATTTCCGTTAATAAAGATTTAATTGTTGGAGTTTTTAAATTTCTTTTTTTTTAAGCTTTAATAGTAAGTTTGTTATGTGATTGTTCGCAAAACAAATACAGTAATTAATACACAAAAATTTAATAATTGTGTATATTAAAAACAATGTGGGTAAATTCATGGAAACCAAATAAAACATAACGAGTGTTGAAAATGACATAAAGTGGTATAGAGTGGCTACTATAAATGTTCGTAAAATACCTATTATCCTAACTGCTTCTTGGGTTTATTGACAAAAGCGAAAAAAAATAAACACTTATTTACAAGAAGCGATTGGAAAGACGAGACGCATTTTCAAGCGGCGAGGGTGGAATTAATTATCCAGTATTATATAAGATACATGTCTTGATAATAAACGCCGTATTATATTGCTTTTTATAATTTAATGCATCCCTCCGGGCCAGCAATGAAGTATGAATACCACTGCAATAAAGAATATTTACGGTGATAGTTGCAGTAATATAATAGAACCTTGAATTCAGTTAACTTAAGTGTAGCCAAAAACATTCATTAGTGATTAGTCCTATTACACAACTGAAAACTATGTATATCTTTTCATTTGTTGAAGATAAAGTAAAAAAAGTGTATATCGTACACATCGAATTTATTTGAGAAAACGGCGATGGAAGTTCACCGTTTTCGATATCTAATTCAAAAAACTAAAAATGGAACTTTCCTCCACAGTTCCCCCAAGAACGGGAACTTTTGGTATGTTTGTTCATATACCGGACTATACAGTGTTTTAATTAAAAAAAAAAAAAGTTCTTGTAAACAAGAGTGTGTAAATGTTTTGCTCGTTGAGAAAGACGTTAAAGTTTTATTATCTTTGTATATTTTCTTAAATAACTCCTACAAAAT